CCCCGGGAGCAGCGCCCGCGGGCCACGCGCGGCCCCGATGCGGGGGGAGGCCGCTTGCCGTGTTCCCTGGATGAGGAGGCTCCGAGGGTCACGCTGCCCTTACGTGGCTGACAAGATCCAGCGGGCGTTTGGATGCTATGGAAGCAAATGCTTAGCACGCTCAGCCCCACCAGAAATACCTTTGTGGCTAACTACAAATGCAGCCGGTGTGGGCTCTGAACAAAGAAACAGAAGCCCTTTGCTTTTTGCACACGTTCGCTGTCCAAGCTGAGAATTACAAAAGATATCAGAATGTGCATGCACGAAACCAAATGAGCTTTGAAAAAGCATCTTGTTTCCATCAACAGCTCTATTAAGAGTTGTAGGTAAACACATCGGTGATTGGGCTAGCTCAAACTAGTGTCATTTGCTGGGATCTGGCACTTGGTGAAACCATCTGGAAAGCAAGTTTTGGGGTATATCTGAGTTGCTCATAAGTATTGGCCATGGTAAGAGTGGGGCAACAGGGCCTGTCCACCTGGGGGGAGCCCAGCAGAGCAAATGGCCACAGCCAAACCACCTGCCATGCCACCAGCAACGTAAAACACAGCAGGACACGTAACCCTCGGTTTCCTTCTCTGGTTAGACAGTGAATCCCATTGTGCAGGCCCCTTTGGAGCACTCCCAGAAAGACTCTCAGAAATGTACCACTTGTTTCTGTATCTTGGCTTCTCTTTTGGATAAAATGCAGAAGCAGATCAAGTGTTTCAACCCAGGTGTTAGTTGGAACCTAAACATCTTACTGAAACAGTCATTAATTAAATAGATTATAAACCAAAACATACTCAGAAGCAAGCAGCAATTTCATTCTCTTGCACTTGAGCATTTATCATGTTTCAAGAACATGGTGCTTCCCACAGATTTAGGGCCATGAAACTGAGGGACTAACGGGCTTTCCAAATCTCTCGTATGAGGCAGGAACACAGACCATGGAGCCTCTCTCACCCTTTCTCTGGGCTTTCCACAGAAGCCAGGGGAAGAAGATCCTCTCCTGTTCGGAGTGCAGATCCAATTTATCAGCTTTTCCAAAAAATGATGCTGTGAACCAAAATCTTCAATTTTTCTGTGAGCCGAAGAGTTTACCGGATTGGATCAGCTCTCTGGTTTTATCTTTTTCTTTCTTTTTTTTTTTAATCAAATATATACAAAACAATGCATAACCACACAAAAGGGAGCAAAGAGACTGGAAATATCTGTGCTGCTTGGAGCCCTGATTTCCCACCATAAATAAGCTGGGGGAATGTTTTATACATTATGTTATTAAATGTTTTCTTTAAGTTCAGTTTCAAGAAACTGCATAGCAGTTAACATATATTTACATGAGCTCTCATTGGCTTCTAACATTTATGAATTCTTCCCCAATCATTTTGCACTGCTGTAGAAATGCCAATTTACTGTAAAATATAGCTCCATCCCATATGCAATGTGGGGTTCTGACTGTTATCAATTCCCCAAGTCACTCTATGTCCAGCAACAGCAGGGTGGTTATTCCAGCAGTTATGACTGTCACCCTATTGACTTCAGTGGAGTTGCAGAGGCCTATTATTTTTAATTCTACTTCTCCAGAAGAAAAAAGAAGTTTGACTGATAGCTTTATAGCTGGATTATGGAAAAGAGCACACATTTCTGGTATTCAGGAATACCATAAAACATTATTTAATATCAACATATCTTTTCAAAATGAGCGTGACAGTTGTCATGCCACAGGATATGCATATTTGACTGATTTTAAAGCATAACTTGGCACTCAAGTCATTTGCATGCCAGGAAACATTTTTAAGGTCCAACCATACATTTAAATGGATGGAAAGCATGACAAGGGTTAAAATTTCAAATTTTTAATATGTAAAGAGCTCCTGCAAAAATCCCTTTTACAAAAGACAGTACAAACCCATTGTAGATAATTGTCTAAATTACTCAAACCCAAAAGGTAGTCAGAAAGGTTACTGAGAGGACAAAAAGCATCTAAAATCACTGGTTTCTATATTGCCTCAGTGTGTCAGGGCAGGTGCAGTCAAGGTTGGGAAGCTTCCAGTTGATTTTCGTTCAGGCTATCCAGAGGAATCCACACTTTGTGCTTGGTTTCTTATGAAATGCACAAATCATATGCTGGCAGTTCAGCAAGGTAATCTTTGAGATAGAGAGAGAAACTCTTCAGGTGAGGTAACCCCTTACATTTCCGTAGCCTCTTGAGATCTATGAACCACATAGCTTTCCCTTCTCAGCTACTACTATCTCTTTGAACTTTCTTCCATAGCTGCACAAAAGGCCCAGCTGAGGAGCAACCTCCTTTGCTCTCCACCAGGCAGAGATGACCACAGACCTTGTGTAGCACTACTCCCCTGAAGGCATGCCAGGAACAACAGGAGGTGAACCTCTTTCTTCACCTGGGTAAAATCATCATCAGGACATTATATTGCTAAGTGTCAACTGAATGGGGCCTGTTAACTGGTGTTTGAACCAGCTTTTCTGTCCCCCAAGGTGATGAATAGAGATGAATTTTTGTTCGGATAGTTTAGAAAGTTAATATTTGGGACAATCAATAGATTTTGTCTAAGAATGTTATCTCACTAGTTGAATACACTTAATGATCCCATTCAAATGAAATGCACTGACTATTCCTCTTATCTTTGGTCCCATAGAAAATGGTAAAGCCACAAGACAAGCCCTTATGTGATGAGAGTTCACTCACAGCTTTACTGATTGTGAATAATCTTGGGAACTCCTCAGAGCATGTCCTAACATCCATTTGGTCTAGACTCAAATTTATAGTGAATTCCAAAGCAAAAAATAACACTTCAAGATGTTTAAGAATTCCTTAGAGATCACAGATAGGCCTGTTACTTCTCACTGTGCCTTCAAGAAATCATCTCCCTACTGCCTGTGACACTACTATGTCTCTCTCCCAAAACCTGTATTTTCTATTGCACAAGAACAGTAGGAACACACGCACACAGATATATATATATATACATAACAGGGTTTTTAGTAGTGCTACAGACATAAGCTTTTAAGCTAACCTGCTGCATTCGTGAAAGAGGGTGCATAACAAGTGTGTTATGTTATCATTCCAAAGCTTAACTGGAAATAAACATTAGAACAGCTTTCCTAATTGATAACATATCAAACACTAAGACTAAATGCATTGGACTATATGACCAACATGAATTATCTTGTATAAATTGGTAATATTATTAATATTTATTTATTTTACAAATTAAGATCAGAGGCTTCTTTTAAAATATTTAAATTATACTAGCTTGCCTGTCTTTAAAATGCTAGACATTTGTAATACTGTGTAAATCTGGGTGAGTTGTGTTTGCTATTTGATTGCTTTTTGATACTACTGATAGGAATTTTATATCTAAATATTAATAGAAGTATAATATGCATTATCTTTTTACTTTCCTCTGAAATTATTAGTATCATGACAGACCTTGAAGCAGTTTTACAGATGAACTTGAATTGGCCTTGAAGACAGGCTAATAATGGGCACTTGTGAGCAAACCTTTTGCTCGAGGCTGAGGCAAAGCAGCTGAGCCAGAAACCAGGCTCACAAGCAATGGAATTAGGGAGGGAAATACCTTCTCCTTGAGCCATGAAGTAGCTGTTACCTTAAGTTTCCTATGAATAGTAGAATTTCTGCTTGCTGTCAGAGGAAATACCAATTGTGCTCAGTAGTCCAGAGTCACATCTGCTTGTAAGTGTTGTGATACCTTGGCTTTTAAGGAGCTCTACTGTGGGATATCATATCAAACTACATCATTTACCCTGTAGCCATTTACAGTTTTGATCTGTTGTTTCTGCATAATTTAGTAAATAAGTCTCTATGGGTGACAGTGGTGAACTGAGACTTTTTTCCAATTAATTGCTTAGTACTGCTCAGTAACAGCATTGGTATATTCCCTGCATCCTTCTGGGCATGTCATATGGGCCAGGAGGGATAGACCTCCAAGCACCTTGAGTTACTTCAGCTTTGCTTCTATTCTACGTTAACATCTGTGTCACAAACTTGCCAGAAGTTAAGCAGCGTGACCTGTTTCCTACCACAGAATGTCTCTTTCAGGAAACAATCAACAAGTTCTCAAAAATGACATTACACTTGAATGATTTTTGAGATCATATTTGCATTTTAAGAAGTGAATACACTTCTTTTGGTGCTCGGTGCCATGCAAAATGCTGACCTCTACCAGTTCTTTCCAATACATCAGGATGACACTAGCTCTTCCCCCATGCTATTAGTTATTTATTAAAACTTTGGTAGGCGATCTGTTCAGACTTATTGGCAGTGCTTATCTGACCAAGAAGATGACTGACAGGTTCATTCATTTTAAAAGGAGACTAGAATGGATTTCTCATTTGGCTGTCAGCATGTTCTTCATTTGTCAGAAAAAAAAAAGGTCTAAGCTCCCTCTTCATTTGTCAAGCCTGTCTTTTCCGTCATATACAGTGGTTTAGAGATTACAGCTCATCTCAAGTACTTAGAGCAAAGATGCTGTGGACAATAAGAATAGGATTGCCTGACTTTGAAAGGCATGTACAGTAGAACATAAAAAAAAAAATTCTAGAGAACACTATGGACAGGAT